GGCTTCGGGTTTAAGGTTTAAGGTTTAGGTTTTAGGGTTTAGGGTTTAAGGCTTAGGGCTATGGGTTTGGGGTTTCGGGTTTAGGATTTAGGGTTTAAGGTTTAGGGTTTAGGGCTTGGGTTTAGGGCTTGGGGTTTAGGGTTTAGGATTTAGGGTTTAGGGGTTTGAGGGTTTTGGGCTTGGGGTTTAGAAGTTTACTGTTCAGGGTTCAGGGTCAAGGGTTAGGGTCCTTGGTCGTCGGGTAATCGAAGATCGGGGCGTCCGTTTCGGGTTCCGAATAGGAAGTTGGCAAAGCACCATCCAGCTCGGCAGCGTCCGCTGTGTAGAGGCAGTCGAGCAACTTGGACTCGCTCATGCCGGCGCAGGGCGTGTGCGGCAGGAGCAACGCACGGTCCTGAGCCTCCTCGGGGGGTGTTTAGGGGTTTTGATATTTGGGTTTAGGGTTTAAAGGGGTTTAAGGCTAAGGGTTTTCGGGTGGGGTTTAGGGCTCTTGGTTCCCAGAACAAGGAATAGTTCAACAGTCCCTGCCTTTCAGTATAAATTACAATAATGGCAACTTGAAGTCCATCTCTCAAGAACTCCTTGTGAAAACGACTACAAAACCGACATATAAAGCAGCTTCATAAAAACCTACAACCGAGACTAACCTCCTCCATAAGAACCCCGTCAGATCCCTGAATCCTTATAAACGAACCTTGGGTTCAGGGTCCCCTAAACCCTAAACCCTCAACTTTAGGGTTTAAGGGTTTAGGGTTTAGGGTTTAGGGTTTAGGGTTTAGGGTTTAGGGGTTTAAGTAGGGATCCCTTCTCTAAACGGCCCAGTCCTTCGCAGCTCGGTCCATGGTAATGTTGGGCGATGCTGAGAGCGAGATGGCACCATGGAAAAGGCCGCGGCTGCTGCGGGATGCAAGGTGACCAAGGATGCCTGCTGTTGGCTTATGGGGTTTATAGGGTTCGGGGTTTAAGGTTTAAGGTTTAGGGCTTAGGGTTTAGGGTTTAAGGTTTACGGTTGAGGGTTGAGGGTTTAAGGTCTAAGTTTAAGGTTAGGGGTCAGGGCAAGTTTAGGGTTTAGGGTTTAGGTGCCCCAGTGTGCCTGATAGTCGGTTATGTACGAGTTATGTGAGTTCACAGGGTTGAGGAACGAAGCATAGTGCAGTTGCATATTAATATATTTTCCTTAGTGTGGCAACTTACTTGAACCCAGATGCTCGTACCACCAGAGCTTTGTCCAATGAGGGTCACGCGATTGGGATCCCCACCGAAAGCATGGATGTTCTCCTGAACCCATCGCATCGCCAGCTGCTGGTCCGTGATGCCTGCGTTGCCACTGCCTTTTCGGGGGTCCACGGCCGAGAGCTCCTTGAGTGCCAGGTAGCCCAAGACGCCGAGGCGGTAGTTCATGGCCACGACGACGCAGGGATGACGGCGCACGATGTTGTCGAGTGGGCCGTAGAAGTCCCAGCCCACATGGCCCTCCACACTCGAACCCCCATAGATCCACACGAAGACGGGCAAGTTTCTTGCCTTCTCGGGGGCGAAGACATTGAGGTTCAAGCAGTCCTCGCTCTCCACTTCATCGCCAGCGAGGCCGACGAACTGCTTGAAGGCCTGAAACCGTCCAGGGCCTCCCTTTCCTAGGTCCGCATCAGGAAGGGGACGAAGCGAGAGAATTACTCTATTTGTGGGCTGCCCTTCCAAAACAGTAAGAAACCGAAAATCAAAAACAAAAAAACACTAGCGATCATTTAGTTTCCCAGGAATCCTAAACCCTAAACCCCCAAACCCTAAACCCTGAAAAGACAAAGCTTCCCTGGAAGCAGATCGGGCCATTCTTGGCAACCTCCAGCACGCTCCCCGGCTCCCAGCAGGCCTGGGATCGTGCTAAGGGGTTCAGGGTATAGGGTTTAGGGGTTTAGGGCTTAGGGTTCAGGGTTTAGGGTTTAGGGCTTAGGGTTTAGGGTTTAACGCTTGGGGCTTAGGGTTTAGGGTTCAGGGTTAGGGTTTAGGTTTAGGGTTTAGGATTTGGGTTTAGGCGGTTTCGGGTTTAGGGTTTAGGGTTGAGGGGCCAGGATCAGAGGGACCTCTTTCATTTCCTTACCATGGTGACTGAAGGTCAGATTCCTTAACAACAACCTAGTAGATGATACGGTCCTCTTTCTGGTAACTGTATATCCTACCCTAAATCCTAAACCCTAAACCCCTAAAGCCCTAAACCCCAAACCCCTAACCCCTAGACCCTTAAACCCCAAACCCTAAACCCTAAGACCCTAAAACCCCGAAGCCGGTAAACCCTATAGATCCTATAGATCCCTTTTAAGGAACTCTTTAAGGAACCCCTAACCTACCACAAACCGAAACTCGAAGCCGGTAAAGACCCAGTCGCAGCTGGCTCGGAGGGCTTGAACCTGCGCTGTCCCACGGGAGCCTTCCCAGAGCTTAGGGTTTAGGAGCTTAGGGTTTAGGAGCTTAGGGTTTAGGGTTTAGGGTTTAGGGGATTAAGGTTTAGGGTTTAGGAGATTAGGGTTTAGGAGATTAGGGGTTTAGGAGATTAGGGTTTAGGAGATTAGGGGTTTAGGAGATTAGGGTTTGGGAGATTAGGGTTTAGGGTCTTTAGGGTTTGGGGTGCAGGGTTTAGGGATTAGGGTTTAGGGCTTTAGGGTTTAGGGCTTTAGTGCAGTGACCCTTTCGCTCCGCCGACAGAAGAGGTCCATGGCCCACTCGGTACGAGTCTGCACTTGTACCAGCACATCAATAGGACGTGCTAATACGAGAAAAGCTGCGTTAGGGCTTATAGGGTTTAGGAGACTAAGAATTTAGGAGGTTAGATCTTGGGGTTTTAGGGTCTAGGGTTTAGGACCAGTTTAGGAGGTCAGGTCGTAGGGCTTGGGGGTTTAGCCGTGGTAGGAAAACAGCTCGACCCAGACCTTTATGAGGTTTAGGAAGAGGTTGAAGCAGGGTTTTGCATGGCGTTTAACAAGGGTTCATGGGCTTGAACAGAGTTTTGCAGGCTTAAGAAGCACTGTATGAGCTTTTATAGGGGCGGAACCATCGCACTAAAAAAAAGCAGACAGGGCCCCAATCTCAAGCCTTTTTAAAAGGGAATCCCCAAGAGCAGGTCCACGAAGAGCTTTCAGGGTTTAGGGCTTGGGGCTTAATCCGAAAACCCTAAACCCTAAACGCTCAGCCCTAAACCCTAAACCCTAAACCCCACACCCTAAAAGCGCCTTTCCGTAGGGGATGCCGCGGAACGCTGCCACGCCCTTCTCCCAGCTGCCCTTCAGAGCTCCACAGGCCACCTCGAAGGCTTAGGGCTTTGGGGCTAAGGGCTTTTAGGGCTTAGGGCTTAGGGCTAAGGGTTTAGGGCTTAAGGTTTAGGGTTTAGGGCTTAAGGTTTATGGTTTAGGGCTTAAGGTTTAGGGCTTAGGGCTTAGGGCTTAAGGTTTAGGGTTTAGGGCTTAAGGTTTAGGGTTTAGGGCTTAAGGTTTATGGTTTAGGACTTAGGGCTTAGGGTTTAGGGCTTAGGGCTTAGGGCTTAGGGTTTAGGGCTTAGGGCTTAAGGTTTATGGTTTTGGGCTTAGGGTTTAGGGTCTCAGGAAAATTAACCCTCTGGAAATCGTTTGGGCTTTGAAGTTCCACAACCCACCCAGGATTGATTACAAGGCCCTACTAAAGAAGACGCCGGATCCGGAAAAGATGGAACTCCGTTTTTTTGCAGGACACGTAGAACTACTTGACGGTTGAGGGCGTAGGGCTTAGGGTTTAGGGTTTGGGGTAGGCTTTCCTAAACTACTTGGCCATACGATTTGTAACCCTAAACCCGAAGCCCTAAGCGTTACACCCTAAACCCTAAACCCTAAGCCCTAAACCCTAAACCCTAAACCCTAAACCCTTTTTGAAGGACACTCAGAACTGCTTGGCCATACGACTTTTGAGGAGCTCGCAAAAAAGCCCTAAAACACCCTAAAAGCCCTCTAAAACTAGCTAAAACCCCCCTAAACCCCCAAACCCCTAAA